TGTGTGTCTGTGCACCCAGGCAGGTCGATGTGGGCGTGTGTGTGTGCGCGACGTCCTCGTTACACGTCTGACGCGCTCTGCAGTCGTCACAGCCTCAGAGACGCAGGATCGATCTGCGGCGAGAGGGCAGGGGAATGACCTGCGTCACAACAACCGGTTCGCAGTGGCTTGGTCGACTAAGAATGCCCAGCCGTTGTCCTATCCTGCGCAGCTTGTTCACCGCCTCCTCCTCCATTAGTTTGAAACACATGGCAAAAAATGAAAGACCCAAAGCTACGTAGAAGGTGAGGGCAATCATCTTCTCCGAGGGATTCTCTGAATCTATTTTCGTGCCTTAAAAAAGAAGGGAAAAACAAGAAGGACTAAAAGCATTAAAAACATAAATATATATTTAAGACATACCACAGAGCTAAAACGGTTGTATAAAAACGTTTCTTGTGTCATATATGTATTTTATTTATAGGTAGGTATATATGTCAACTTTGTTTCCAAACTGGGATTTTCTCAAAAAGCTGACTCTTTTAGCTTTAACTCTTCCTTTTTCACTGTAAAAAAACGTTTAGTGTGCAAGGCAGCGTTTCACTGGGACGCAATCACTTTAAATCGGGCAGGGAAATTGCGGAAGTATTAGGAGAGAAAGCTTGTGTTTTTTTAAGTTTCTTCGACAAAATCAGTTTCTTAAGAGGCACATTTAAATTAATGCTATATTAAGGTCAATAATTACTCCCATATTGTTCTGGTAATACATTCTTAAATGATAACAACGCATCCGAATTCTGTACAAATGAAAGAGCGTCAACAGCAGCCCAAGCTTTGACAGGTTTCGGTGTAAATTAAAGGGAGCGTTGGAGAAGATTATCAGGAGATATCCGTTATAAGTTTGAATTCACAGACAGTGTTGATGGATCATTAAAACTTAGAAAAACTGTTTTTTGCAATCTTCTCAATCCTTCAGGGACTATTACAGAATGCTCAAAAAATCGTTTATTAAAATAAATTAACAAACACAATTTTTAAATTCTTTCGCCCCTTGGTAGTCTGGCGACAAAAGTTTAAAGTTAAATTAATCTTTCATGGCCGAAGTGGCTTCCATTACCCTACCAGAAATCAGAAAACCATGTTTATCAGTCAGTACCATTAGTTGAAAATGCTTAAATAACAAAAAACTTAATGCTGCTGTTCACAAAATAATGTTGTATTTTTCGGAAAGTAAAACATTCATGTAAGCCGAATATTGAGACGAACGCATAATTCAGTGCTTAAGAAATAATAAGATACCTAAAATCTAAGCAGAAAAATATTTTAGACCGCTGGTCACAAAGTTTCGGTCAGAGGAGGCCACTTGCGACTAGGAGTTCCTCAATTTTGTCGGACCAACAAAAAACAAATGCCCGTTTTTCCTGCTTGTGTGCTATGTCTGTTAGCTTTGCAGATACACTTCCAGTCTTTGTGCACCATTGCGGACAAGAATGCGACTGCCAGGGGGGCCTCGCTATCAGATTTCAAGCCTTACAGTAGATTCCATATCTCATGAAATAGCACCCGGGATTCTGAATTGAGTTTTCGATTCAAACATTTTAACTACATATGGTTGCAATAATGACGATCGTACAGACAAATCTTAATATATCTTGGTCACTTCGGGATGCCGGCTTTTAATCGAGCGTCTTTTTGATCGCTAATAAGAAGTATGTACTGTAAAAATTGATTACATAAGTATCATGCATTTACATAATTAATTTTGACTGACTTAATAAATTCCACTATATTTTAAAGAAAACATAAACGTGGCAATAGCAGCAAAGTGATTAATTGGATCTATATCATTTCGAGAGAGCCTTCTCAATGCCATTGAAAGGACGTACTATGCTGCTGATCTGATAATTTGCAATCCGACAAAGCCTTTACCAGTTCCTCATGCGAAGGATGCCATGCCGATGCACGCCACTTCAAACTGCATTTATGAATTTACATGTACTTGCGGATGTAAGTACATAGGGCGTACGCAGAGGCAATTGGCCACCAGAGCTAAGGAACATTTGCCTAGCTGGCTAATGAAACAAGAAAACAGAATTCCCCGATCCTCAATTACTG